CTGTAGACCAGGCTGGCCTCGACTCAGAAATCCGCCTGCCTCTGCCTCCCAAGTGCTGTGATTAAAGGTGTGCGCCACCACTGCCCAGCCTTCCTCTTCCTTCTTTGATATGTTTACTTTTATATTTTGTGTATGGGTGTTTTCATACCACAGGTGTGTATTTGTTGCCTCAAGATACTGGAAGACTGTTAGATCCCCCGGAACTGGAGTTATAATTTATGAACTGGAGTTATAATTTTGATTCCTGCTTTGTTAGTGCTGGGAATCAAACCCGCATCTTCTGGAAGAGTGACAGGTGCTCTTAACTTGTCCATCTCTCCAGCTCAGCTCACCTTGACGTTTCTTGAAGAGTAGAAAATATTGTTCAGTAAAATTGTACTTTTTTTTCTAGTTCATAACATATAGTAGTCAAATATAAGCCAAGGTATTCAGGCAGCATTTATTGCTGTTTTATGGTGGTTTATACAGTGGAAGGGCATATTATCTGATGAGACGTGGGTGAGCTCTGCCAGGAAAAACAGTTTCATTATGAGTTTGACTTTAAATCTGAATTTATTTTTGGTCGTTTATTCAGATACCTTTTACTGTTAGCAAATTTTATGATATTTCCGCCCCTCCCCAATTTAGTTCCAGGGCTATATATATGGGGCTGAGATTCATATACAGAAGAAGATATCCACAAATAATAAACCTTTTTATTTTGCTAATTGTGTCTTTTGTTTGTTGTTTTGTATGTTTTCATGTTCATATGTGTACCTACACACAAGCAGGCACATGTGTGGAAGTCAAAAGTTGATGCTGGATCTTGCTCAGCTTTCTTATGTTTTGAGACAGAGTCTTTTCACAGGACTTGGAGTTTGCTGATTTGGCTAGACTGTCTGATCTGGAGTCTGTAGGGATCTTCCTGTCTCCAGCTCTCTACCGCTGAGATTACAGGCATCCCTGACATGTTTACGGAGCTGGTGGGGATTGAACTCTGGTCTTCCTGATTTAACAGCAAGCACTTTACTCACTGAATCATGCCCAGTTCTCATTTTGTTTTTTATATATTTGCCTATTTTTGCAATTATTTATTTTATTGTGTCTGCATGTACCCCCTCTCTCCGTGTGTGTGTGTGTGTGTGTGTGTGTGTGTGTGTGTTTGTGTGTGTGTACCACAGTATACCTGTGGAGGAGGAGGACAACTTGTAGTAGTTGATTCTTTCCTTTTGCCATTTGGGATGCTGGGATTGAAATCAGATTGTCAAGCTTGGGGGTAAGTGTATTTACTCACTGAAGCATCTTCCCAGGCCGGGAAGGACCTGAGTTTGGTTCCTGGCACCCATTTTGGCCAGCTTACAACCACCTTTAACTCCATCTCCAAAGGATCCAATGCTGCCTTCTTGCCTCCTTGGGCACCTGCACACAAAATATAGACACACAGAGTGACATGTAAAGTATTTTAAAATCTTAAAGAAAAAAGGAAATCTCAAGGAAGACTCAAAGAGGGGAAGGCAGTTAGTCATCTGGGAGAGTCTTGGTGCTTAGGTGGTTTTAACAAAAGCTCGGTTGTAGCTCTAGAACCCAAGGTCCTTTCTGTAATGCTCATCTGCATCCCCCCTTACAAGCTGGCCTGCCCTGTTTTCCACACGAACTGTCCATTCTACACTTAATTCCTAAGCTTCTCTCAACGTTCACCATGCAATAGTCAGTGTGCTCTTTGGAGACAACAGCAGCAGTTATTGCTGTGATAAAATACCATGACCAAAAGCAACGTTGAGATTAATTTTACTTTAAAGCTTAGAAATACATCACTCACTGAGGGAATCCAGGGTAGGAACTTGGAGGCAGGGACTGAAGCAGCATCTGTGGAGCTTGCTCAGTTTTCTTTCTTTTCTAACACAAGACCACCTACCTACCCAGAGACAGCATCATCCACAGTGAGCTGGGCTCTTACATATCATCAGTCAAGAAAGAAAATGTCCCACAGGTTTCCCCACTGACCTTTCTGGTGGGGGATTTTTTTTTTCAATTGAGATTCCCTTTTCCAAAATAACTCTAGCTTGTGTTAAGTTGACATGAAACTAACTAACTAGGACATATATCTTCCATTATAAGGGTCTCTCTTTATCTGTCTTGTCCTTAGATCATGCCTACCATGGTGAGAAGGCCTAGAACTGTGTCAGTGGACTAATTACAAACCTAATTAATAAGCAGCCTGAGTGTTTTCAGTACTGGATGCTTTAAGGTGGATGTGTCAGATGATAGACACATGAAAAACATTTAACAACTGAAGGCATTTTAAACGTAAGAAATGATTTTTGAAGTTAAAAACCATGGTTTATGTGTTTTTTTCTTTTCCATTTGTGATTTTGAGCCTCTAACTCCTCGCCAGTACTATTATCTATGCATTCATGTCAGTAAGTAGTTTAGTGACTTAATCAGAAGCTCTGTGACTGTGAAGTGGAGATTAGCTGTACGTGTCTAACTCTGTACTCTTGATCCGTGTGGCTGCTATCACAGACCGTAGACATGGGCAGGTCTGTTTGTCTGAGGACAGAATTGATCTGTGTATTGCTCTACTTAGGTGTGCTTTTCATCCTATATAAAGCCAGTTTTGCTCTCTGATTAGAAAGCAATATTAAGAGATAATTGAGGAAGCTGGGTGCAGGTGAGTGGTGAAGTTCTTTGGAAGTCTATTTTAATCTGACGATTTACAGTGTTTACAAAGGGCCTGGGATACAGAAAATGAGAAAACTCCATTTAATTAGAAGTCCTCTAGAAACCAGAAAACAACAAGGTAGGATGTTACATTTTTGTCACAGTGAAGTCTGGATATGGTCTGAGTTGTTTTCCTTTATGTTAAAAACAAAGGGGGGCGTGGTGTAGTCTAATGAACTGTACACACAGCAGGAAGGAGGCCACCATAAGGAAAGGTTACTGAGAATGTGAGGGTGGTGGGCACTTGTGGGAATCATTTCATTTAACTAGAGGGAAATTGCTGTGGTATGGTATTAAGGTTTCATACTTTTTTTTTTTTGATCCTTATTGTACTTTTTAGTTTCAACATAGGGTAATGTGTTTTTCCATATGAGAGCTCTGGAATTTATTCCATTCTCTTTCCCTTCTTCTGAGTCTTCCTCACTCCTGCTAAGTAGTGTTCCTGTCTACTCCTCTGCATTGTAACTCTTGAGTCAGGAAGTCCCTGAGCCTGTGAGGGAGGTTGTAGAATCTACTTAGGAAGTAAGCAGCTGCTCAGCAGTAAGGATACAGATGCAGCTCAGTACTGGGAACACAGCCAACCTTACACATGGTTAACATTGTTACTGCTATATCAATTCCAGATCACCATCTGCTAATGCTTCTTTGGTTCTTTTAACCTTTGGTTGCAGTTGTAGCCTTTTATTAGTGAATATTTTACTAAAAAAATCTCATTTTTGTCTTGAGCCAATAACCAGTTTAAGTCAAGTGATACGTTCTTGACTCTTACAGTGTTTTGGAAGGATAGAAAGTAGCCACCATGAGGTTGGTAGGAGAATACTTGATTGGTGTGTTTGCGTTGACATAGCTTGGTTTCTGAAGATGTACAGAGATACAACAAAATATTTAGAGTATTGTATAGTTTCTATATCACTTGTGCCTTTTTTCAAATGCTTTGGGATAAACTTTGGCTAGTCACTACTGTATATTTTATTACTCCATTTTAAAAAATGATTAGTAATAAATGCTGTATTTGGGATATAAAAACATTATTCAGAAATGTGTGTTTTTTGCCTGGCCCACGTTTGGATTCCTCTGTATTTGTCCTGCTTGTTGTTTTTGGAACTTCATTCTGAGACTTGAGATTTATCTGTTTGGGAGAATACTGCCAAACATTTTTTAAAAATATTGATTCTACTGTTTCCCCTCCCTTCCCCTCCCAGATCTCAGTTACATGCGTGAGGGATTATTTTAATCCTGTTCCCCCACCCTGCTTCTAATGACGTTCTCCTTAAATCTGGAGGTTCTCTTTCCTTGATGGTGACACTCTTCATAATCTTAGAAATTTATTCCTAGATATTTCCTGCATAATTTTTGAAGGAACTAAAATTCTAGAAAGGAGAGTGCTTGTCCCCTGAGCACTTTCTCATGTCTGCAAAGATAAATTTCACATACCACACCTGAAACAAAATTCACGAAAAATAGAAAGTTCTTCGTGGATGGGTGTCTTTTAAACATGGAAACTAAGGTTATTGAATGTAACATGTTAAGCCTATTTCATAAGCTCAGGTAATTTACGGTCTCAGACTAATCTGATTTCTAAGGGGCTTTTTTATAGTGTACCTTGTGAAGCATTATAAACTTGAACTGCAAACTTAATTCTCAGTTTTTACTGTAAAGTCCAGAATTGTTTAATTACTCATTTGATGTAATTAATAGTTTCCACACTTTAAGTTATCCTAGAATTTAAATATGTTTCCCCACTATGGTTTTTTCACTGGAGGCAGTTTGGGAGTTTATCTTCTTGAAGGGGCAGAATAACTGGAGGTACAAAGTCTGGCAATGAGAGAACCCTCCTGTACTGGACACTGAGCTAAGCCCACTGTGACTATTGCTAATAACAGTGTACAAACTCTAAGATCAAACAATCATGTATTATGAATTTAAGTTTTATAAGGCTTAAAGCTAGACAAGATAAAAAGTTACCCATCCTTTTTCTGCTTGATTAGTTTTAGTACTTTGCATATAATTAAGGTCCTATTTCTTAGGCATTTGAAAGCCAATGGGAGCAGAGACACTCAGAGTGATGTCTGTTCCATGCTACCTGATCTAAGGTACTTCTCACCCAGTGATGTGAGAGGAATGTCCATTTGAAAGGAATCTACAGATTAACAGAGAGGTCTTGTTTTAAAAGTTCTATTAGCTTCAGCTGGAGAGATGACTCAGCCGTTCCAGGCTAGGTTCACAGAATAAAAGTGCTGGTGTCTGTGGTGTTCTTGTTTATTCATACTATTAATTGACTGCTGTTTGTCCCTTTGCAGAAAGGCATAAATCCTAAAGATGTCTTTGAGTAATGACCACGTGTTAGTACCGATGTCACAGAGAAACAACAATGGCCTTCCTGGAATGAACTCCAGCTCCATGAGGACGCTCACTGAAGGAGATGTGCTGAGTTTTCACCACATCACCTATCGAGTGAAAGTGAAGAGTGGGTTTCTAGTCCGGAAAACAGTTGAGAAAGAAATACTATCAGATATCAAGTAAGTGTATGGACTCTTGAAAAGATTCCTTTATTGATCTACAGGGACCTTAAAAGAATTTCTATTCACAACAAGTTGCTGTGGATACTTCATGTCTTTGTACATATGTATATAGACACATCCTTTCATTTCTTTTGTCTAAACTAGGACCTAAGTTATTTGATCTCTTGTTAGGCATATATTTTACTTCCAAAGGAACTGTCAAAACTTAAAAGTGGTCTTATATTTTTGAGAAATTGAATGTTTTACTATATCATTTTTTTAAGACTGGCGAATCTTATGTTTTAGAGGTGGAGGTCTGACTGCAGTTTTTGGTATGTTGATTGTAAAGATGTAATCGTAACCTCAGATTTAGTTTTCCAGTCTTTGAAATAGAAGACCTGCTGATACACTTTTTAATATGTGTGTACTCTTTATCTGTATATTCTGGTAGAAAGAAGGTAGAAATGCAGTATAATTTGAAAGTTCTTTGGTTTTTGAAATGCACCTGTTTTAATAAATGGTCTATTTGTGGTAAGCAGATTGCAGTCTTTAAGGATTTACTTAGTACTTTCCCTCCATAATGAAGACATGTAATATGGTTCAGTTTGTAGAGTGCTTGCTTAGCATACACAGAGCTCTGAATTCAGTTCCCAGAACCACAGAAAACCACGTGCCAGGAAGTTTGTAATCCCAGCACTTGGGAGATGGAGGCAGGAGGATCAGAAGCTCAAAACCATCCTGCACTACATGAGACTTTGTCTCCAACAAAACAGAAACAAAACAACAACAAAACAAAAACAAGGTAGAAAATATTAACATTTAAGGAACTCTCATTTCACTGACGTTATAGAATCGAAGCCCAAAGTGATGAGAATTTTGTGTTCCGACTTCGTGTAGCCAGTTCTGTTTCAAAAGCTCTTAGTAATGGGTTGCATTTGTTTTTTCATCAGGGGATGAGTGTATAATCAGAATGTGGAGGTAGAAGAGGAGCTAGAGTGGAGATTAGCTGACTGTGTCTACAGGACCTGTCGCTACTGGCCTCTCGGTTGACATTAAGCTTTTCATCCTTATGTGGTTTCTAGAGAATTGAGTCTACACTTGAGTGATAAATGAATTTGCGTTTGTTCAGACAGCCCATCCTCTTTTCTGTCTTCTAGCTGGAGAGCAGTTATAAGAGTGATTTGACCCCTTGTAACTACAGGCCTATGTGGAATCATATACTTCTGTTTTCTTGATGTTTTATATGGAGCTCTATTTTCTCTCTGTTAATAGCAGCCTACCTCCTCTAGAGAGCAGGAAGATGGTAGGATATAGGAGAGAATTTTTGGATGTAGGTAGAAGAAAAATGATGAGGTTCCAAGACTAGGTTGGCCTGAGGAATGTCTGGAAAGCAATCTGCTCCTGAGTGTGGTAACAAGGCTCCATAGAAAAAAGTAAAACTTCATGAAGATGATGAGGACAATGATGATGATGATGATGATGATGATGATGATGATGATTTTGAAGAAGAGGAAACTGAAGAAAGGGTTCCAGTGAAGAAATCTGTATGAGATACCCCAGCTAAAAATGCACAGAAATCAAACCAAAATGGAAAAGACTTAACCTCATCAACACTGAGATCAATGGGTCAAGAGTCCTTCAAAAAACAGGAAAAAAATCCTAAAACACCAAAAGGACCTAGTTCTGTAGAAGACGTTAAGGCAAAAATGGAAGCAAGTATAGAAAAAGGTGATTCTCGTCCCAAAGTTGAGGCCAAGTTTATTAATTATGTGAAGAATTGTTTCCAGATGACTGACCAGGAGGCTATTCAAGATCTCTGGCAGTGGAGGAAGTCTCGTTAAGAAAATGGTTTAAAGAGTTTGAAATATTCTGTCTTACTTCATTTCTGTAATAGTTGATATCTGGCTGTCCTTTTTATAATGCAAAGTGAGGGAAGTGTCTTTTCCCTACTGTGCTTGATAAATGTTGTCCAGGTTCAATTGCCAAGGGTGTGTTGTCTAAAATACCTGTTTAGTTTTCAAGGATGGAACCCCACCCTTGGTTTTATGTACGGGACGTTATGATAGGATGTAGTAATAGTGGTGGTCAGATGTGGAAATGGTAGGGAGGCAAAAATATACATGTGCGATAAACTCAGTATTTTAATAAAGTTAAAAAAAGAAAGAGAAAGGTGATGTGATTTGAATAGGGACTGTTTGGATGGATTTACGGTGCACACTGTGAACTGGTACTCTGCATGGGTGTATGCACACTGTGAACTGGTACTCTGCATGGGTGTATGCGTGTTATGTATGTGTATGAATAATGTCGAGGGTGAAGCCTAGAGCTTTGTGCATGCCTGACAGGTGTCCTCCCACTAATCCACGCTGCCAGACCCTTGTGATTCTTCTCAGACCAGTAAAGGAAATGGCTGAGTGTGTTGAGTGTCTTGTGCTCCAGCTCCACAGCCCCACACTCTGCCATTAGCATGGTAGAATGGCATGCATATTGCCTAGCGTGATAAATAACCAATCGTGTTTTCTCTTTCTCTTTACAATTACAGAAGCAGCTAGGATTCGTACTCATGCTTACTATGTCTAGTTTGGGCTTCAAGACCTGAAATGGTCATGACTTAAAAGGTCATTCTTTTTTTTTTTTTTTTTTGCTTGCAGGCTTTCTAATCTTTTTCCTGTCTGCTGGCTTCAAATAAGTAGAGTCTCTATGGTGCAGGAAGGGTTGCTTTCGTCACTTTATTTTTTTTATTTGTGCTTAATAATAGCATCACCATTCAGAACAGTGATTATATTTTTCAAAACCTGATGAGAATCAATTTTTCATTGAATCTTTGTTTCTTCTTTTCCTTTGTGAGAAGAAAACCAGACAAAATCTGTTCATGAGAATGCCGAAGGTTTTCCTCTCTGTTGTATGATCTTTCTCCTACACTTCCTTTGTCTCCATATTCAACACTCAACAAGTGATTTTTCCTTCCTCTGTGCTGAAGAAATGGCCATCCCAGTACATGTTGGGGCAGCAGGGGAATTCATTATATTCTTGGGAAGACTGTTAAGAAACGTATTTGAAAGAACTTCAGAGTTAAACTTGTAGGAACGTGACACCCCACCTAGTCTTCCTGTTAATGCATCACTGTCACTAGTGGTTTGGGGGATCCTTGTAAAACTAGGCTATCTACTTGGCACTCTTGTATCCCCAGTTCCTCTAGTGCAAGTGGTCTAGAAAGAGGACCTTCTCATGCAGTCACTTGGGTGACTGGCAGCAGGCAGGGGGAAGGATAGTAGCCTCATGACCTAGTCAGTCGTGCCTCTGAAGATTTCTCACAGTTGACTGACTGCCACATCCTGTGGTTTGATTATCCTCAGCCTATGTTTCTCTGTTTCATCCACCATGCTGTTTCATCCACTTGTGATATTAAAATTAATTACTTGGTGATGTTATTGTCTATTTAGCTGTACCAGAATGTTAAGATTTTGGTTCTTTGTACCTGATTGGTACTATGTGGAAGGGTCTCCTGACATTCTTCCAAAACCCTATTCCTCAGTAAACATAAACTTGTGAGTTGCAGACTCGGAGATGACCCCGTCTGGGTCCAGCTACCACAGTGAGAGCTGCCAAAGGCTTCTTTTCTATGGATATCATCTCATAGTTTGCATTTCACTTGGGAAAAGCTGTGTCATCTCCTCTTTCAGTTACTGTTGTGAATGAGAAACATCCTCCATAGGCTCTTAAATCAGAACACTCAGTCCCCAGTTGGTAGCACTGTTTGGAGAGGTTATGGGACCTTTGGGCTGGCTGTGAGGGTTTATAGCCTTACCTCAGTTCTCACGGTCTGTTTGCTAAGAACAGTGGAGATGGGAGCTCTCAGTTTCTGGATTCTGCTGCCGTGCCTTCACAGCTGCTGTGGACATCTTGCCCTCTGGAACCATAAGCCAAATAGACTCTTAAGTTGCTTTTGCTCATGGTATTATATCACAGCAACAGAAGAGTAACTAACGCAACTGTATATACTCCTGGATCTCTGTTTTCCTCACTGGCCTTCAGCAGTAATGCACTGGCTCTATAGTGTCAGTGCTCCTTTTGTTCTCAATTTGGTTGCAGGGTAATTTCTAGCTTCTTTGTGACTTTGGTTTATTCCTTGTTTTTAGTATTTCTTTGGTATAGGAAGAAGTTCCAGAATCACTGCTTACTAACCCTGCCTGTGCCTTGTACTCAGCTGATGTTCATTTTTGTAGAAGATGGTTTTTACAACCAGGATCCGGATACTTAGGGTTTGCATTGCTGTCACAGTCTAATTGCCTCTGCTTTCTGAATCAGAAGAGCTAAGTAATACATGTATGCATACATAGACACACATAGACATACACATACTTGTTTTTTGAAAAAATCTCTCATGTTCAGATGCATACAGATCTTGTTGGGTGGAATGATAGAAGTTAGTCCTGGGTAAAGCTCTGGTGAAGGGGCAGTCAGTGGATGTCTACTCCCATGCGCACTGCAAGTTTCCTAGCTGTGATTTTCTGTAGCTGTCTGTATATAGATAACACATAATTCCTCATTAATGTATCAATTATAATCTAATGCTTTATATCTGTTCTGAATTTGCATTTTTTCCCTTCAAGATGTATTAAGCCTGCCTATCATTCCCGTCCCTCTAGCCCTTGTATCTTGGGGATTAATTCCCCAAGAACATACCATGGGCCATGGACATAGAAGACAAGTATTCTACTACTAAGATTCATCTCCAGTCTTCATTCTTAATGTACTTGCCTATCAGCTCAACGTTTTTGTTCCTTCAGCAGTAGTAGTAGCAGCAGCAGCAGCAGCAGCAGCAGCAATATAGATAAGTAATGATCTGTCTAGCTTGTGGCTGTCTCTTCTCTGTTGCCCACTGTCTGTGAAGGTCCTGTTCTTGGGTGGTGGTGGTGGCTGGGTAGGACTTATGTAGTTTTCCTACTGAGGTGGGGAGAGAAGAAGAAGTCTAATAGAAGTGCTCAGAAGTTGTTATTATCATTAATGCTGTTTTTTGGCTTTTTGAAAAAAGTTTTAATGACTCTCAAATTAACCTCAAATGTATCATTAAAGCAAAGATGGCTTAAATTCCTTATCTTCCTATTTTTGTGTCCCAAGTTCTGGGCTTACAGATGTGCCTACCACATACCCCTAATAGAAAGGATTAATACATTATTTGAATAAGAGATCACAAATGAGAATATAAAACTAAATTTTCTGGAGACATACTTATAGTCACTAAGTTCTTATTTTATTAATAGAACTTAGTTTTAAGTGGTACATTATGACATAAAGATGACATTTGTCAATAAGATTATCTTAATCTCTGGCTTGTTTTGCTTTGTTTTTGTTTTGTTTTAAGTAAAAAGTTTTTTTTTTTTTTATTTTTAAAGAAGTCCCAGCATGTGATCTCAGCAGTCAGGAGGCCAGAGGCTGAGGCAGGAAGATTTATGTGCATTGAAGACAAGTCAGAGTTACATAGTGAGTTTTAGCCTGGGTTATAGTGTTAGGAACAATCTTCAGACAAAAGTCTCAATAATACAAATGTAGGTTCCTCTATTCAATAAGTTTTGAATGCCTCCTAGGTTATTGATGTTACATAGATATTTTTTTTCTGTTCTCAGAGACTATATTTCACTTAGGAATTCAGAAACTGGTGTACTTTCACTGTGTTAATTTCTGCTGTGACAGAGGATGAAAAGATAGACCTGAAACAGCTTTCTGTGAATTTGAGGAATGGGTATCAGGATTGAGGAAGTGTGTTTGTGTTTCTCAGTATCTGTGTGGGGGGAAATGGCCCTCCTTCAAAACTGTCTATAAGCAAAATAGGATAGAAGTATTGGCTGTTGTCCACTATAACATAATAAAAATGACCGTCTCCTGCAAGATTTAATTTTATGCATTCAGAAAAGTGAGCAAAGTCTCTGTGTCACAGTTCTTACTGGAGGGTTAATCACACATGCAAAGGCTGTAAAGCAATAAACAGAGTAGGAAATGGCTGGAGAGTGATGACAGAAGGGTAAAGGGTAGGGTGGAGTAGTTAGGAAACTGTAGGTCACAGAGTGGAACAGAGGTCATCAGCAAATACTTTCTGTAAAAGCAGATATCATAAATTTTCAGCTTTATTAGCCATATAGCAGTCTTGTACTCTGAAAACATAGTTCCATTCAAATCGCACTATTGACGGAAACAGGAAATAGGTGACCAGCTATAGTGTGCTGATCCAGGAGGACCCAGACTTTATTTTTTCATTTGTCTATCTGCTTGTTTTCTTAGCTTATTCCATCTCCTAAGATGGAATGGATCAAGAGGGTCTCTGTGTCCATAACACACATCAAACAATGATGAGTAAGTAGAGTTGGAATTAACCCTGCCTCAGGTTAGAACTCTTGGAATCCAGCTCTGTTGTTTTCTTTAATGGTAGATTTGTTGTAAATTCAAGCCAACCCCAAAGACGTATTAAACCACCCTACCATGTCATTTCTGCTTAAATCATTCTGGGTGTCTTAGTCTTCATATAAGTAGGTATTTTTAAAAACTGAAATAGTTTCATGGCAATGAATCCTTACTGAATAAAGGTTCTGTTCATTTTAGAAATAGTTGCTAGGTAGCTATTAATACAGATGATATATCAAGAGGTATAAGTATATACACACTGAAAATTTACCCTGGCATCTCTGTGTCTGTATGTTGGACAGTATGTGGGAGGGCTAACACAGTAAAAGAGTAAGATTTTTCTGTATTGCAACTTGATTGAGGCTTAGTGGCATGTTATATTTGTCTGGTATTTTACAGACAGGTACATCAGTTAACAAGCAACGTAAAAGATAAATTTCACCTTAATCCCCACCAGCCCTCATATAATTGTGATTCATCATGTATCAGGCAATAAATGATGAATTTCTCTTGGATTTAAGTGCAGGGAATAGTTCCTGTGTTCCGTGGAATACATCTCAACCTACTTAACAGTTCTCGAGGCTGAACAGGACAAAGGGTATGGTATGGGACAATGCAGGCCTCTCTTCACCATACCTGTGCAGCTGTAATGGACTTGCCCTTAGTTCTCCTTTCTCTTGTTTAGTTTCTTTAGCAACCCCACTTGTCACTGTTAGGATAAAATCCATACTTTGTTAGATATCATCACAGTCAACATTGCTACGATTGTTCATACTCAATTTAAGTAGCCATTTAGTTGGTTGAAATGAATGGCTGTGTGTTGCCTGTCTGTAAGTCATTAAACAGTTGGAAGGGAAGGCGACCTTCTTCCAAGACTGTGTTTCCCAGGGCACACATATGTAGGTCAGAGGACAACTTTGGGATCAGTTCTCTTCTTCTACTGGTTCTAGTGGATCACACTGGTTTTCAGACTTGCATAGCCGTGTGTTTTACCAGCTGAGCTGTCTTGCCTACCTAACGTGTTTTCCTTTAGTGTTAACTACTGGTGATGCTTCTGTCCTAACACGGAGACTTTGATTTAAGATACTTGACTTTTTAATCTGATTATATTTTGGTAATGAGAATATTTTCCACTGGTAATCTTCAAGTATTGATTGTAAATGAAAACAGTTTAAAGGTACTAATCACTAGCTTAACTCAAAAACTGTTATGCACTTTATATTGGTTAAGAGGAATGCAGACCCTTTGAGAATTTCCCTCCCTTATTTTAGGAATCTGTTATTTTAAGAATCTTATGTTAATCTTTCTTACTTAAAAGACCTTCAGTTGCTGTTTCTGGGACTAAGCCCAGGGCCTCATGCATGATAAGCATGGGTTGTACTACTGAGTTGTATCCCAACTCAACATCAAGGAACCTGGAATGTTTGCTATGCCATTTTCAAAAGATTAAGTTGTTTCAAAAGCAAATTACAAAACAGTAACAAATGAAAGGAATTAAGAAGGAATGAACTGGTTTTTACAGGTACTTGTGGTTGATAGCCTTTACATTAGATGTCTAGTATTGGTGATTCTTGGTTCACCTGTGTGGATTTGCATTTCATCTTTCCTTATTAGTGTATTCAATGTAGACAGTAAGTTTAAAGAGCTTCATGTAAAATGTAGGATTAAAACAATATGGTTTTGTTTCTAGTGGGATCATGAAACCTGGCCTTAATGCTATTCTGGGACCCACAGGCGGAGGCAAGTCTTCGTGAGTATAACATACAGATGAATAAGTGTTTTCTGTTCATTAAGCATCACATTTACATGAGCAGATGTTAGCTCATTATTTGCAGTATATATATGGTCTGGTCTTTGGTATTGTGGATAGTAATGGGGTTGAACTATCTTATGATTTTGTGCCAAGGACCAGAATGACTTATTAGGTCAGCTCTAATATGTGATGAAGTGATTGGTATATAGTGGAAGGCCGTGTCATGTACTAACTAGTACAGAGGAAAAAAGATGAAGTAATGCTAAAACAATGAAGGCATTTAGAGAAGGTATAACTGATGTCTTTAGTATTTGTTAAACAATGTGTTGACTGTCTTGTGATCTCCAAGGTCTGTTGACCAAGAGGAGGTCTTAATATTTAAACCAATGTTTTCTTGCTTTTATATTTTGGGTTTTGCTGTAGCACATAATGAAAAGGAAGCTGAGAACTTAAAACATGTAAACTTGTTTTGTTTTTTTTTTCTTTTCGTCCTGTTTGATTTTGAAATAGGATCTCAGCTTTGTAGCCCTGGCTAGCCTTGAACTCACACTGGCCTTAGTAGTCTAAGTTGGCCTTGAACTCTCATAGATCCTCTTTCCTCTGCCTCCTGAGTGCTGAGAGGAAAGGTGTCTGCAATCATGCTCAGCCTGTACGTGTGTTTTTAAACTATAAACGTATCAAATAGCAGAGTTTGCATTTAAAACAGCTAAGTCATATGACCTGTGTTAAAGGGGAAAAAAATCCTCATAACGTGTGTCCTTAACAGGTTGCTAGATGTCTTAGCGGCAAGGAAAGATCCACGAGGATTATCTGGAGATGTTTTGATAAACGGGGCACCTCAACCTGCCAATTTCAAATGCAGTTCAGGTTATGTGGTTCAGGTGAGTATTAGTAGATTTGGCAGTATTTGTGCAAGTATATTTGCTTAGAGTGAAGTTTGCTTCCAATTGAATATATAACATGCTCATCGAATCTGTGTATTTGCATTAGATTTTCACAATCTTCCACTACACTGGCAGTGACATTAAGGGGAGACAGTGTACCTGTACCAGGACCCTTGTGGGACAGTGGGACCAATTTTGGCTGCTATATGATTTCCACCAAAAAAAAAAAAAAAGTACTCATCCTTTACTTTCTTTCTTCCCATTGTAGATGTCTTTCCCAGATCCTTCCACCAGGCAGCCTTGAGATGTGTAGTAGTCCTTTACACATATCCTGTTGGGGTGTAAGGCTAGGTGATCAAAAATGATACCACTGAACTTTCCAGTGTTTGTCTGTGCAGTCACTGCAACTTAAAGAGAACTTGTGGTTTACTAGTAGCCAGAATTTTACCTTGGGTGTGTTATGTATATGAATTGAACTACATATACTCAAGTCATGGTCGTAGAAAAGACTCCCATATCTCACTAAAATGCTACCTTGCTTTAAGGATGACGTTGTGATGGGCACCCTGACAGTGAGAGAAAACTTACAGTTCTCAGCAGCTCTTCGTCTTCCAACGACTATGAAAAATCATGAAAAAAATGAACGGATTAACAAGATCATTAAAGAGTTAGGTCTGGAAAAAGTAGCCAATTCCAAGGTATGAAAACCCCTCATAGTATTATAGCTGGGAAATGGTTCTGTGTAGACAATATAACCTTAACTAAAAGTTTCCTATAATATCTGTGGCTAAAAGTAACTGCTGTTCTGTATGATGAGAAAGTAACTGGCTATTTATAAAAATTATAGGTAGAAATTAAGGTCAGACAAACAAACAAAAAGTGAATAATGATTGATTCCTGGAAATGGAGAGTGGTCCAACAGGGAAATGTATTCTTCATATGGCTTTTCCTATATGCTCTTCCCAACCCTCACTCTTCTAGTCAGAGCCTGGCATATATCTGCACTAAATCCTCTGCTGCTTCTTGAGGAAAAGTGGTGACGTGAGAAAGACAAGAATCCAAAGGTCCGTGTTTTATATGCAACATTTTGCTGTGATTTGTCTTCCAAATTTGTATTTGGTCACATTAGGATTTACTTAAAATTTGTCCAGTGTTCAAGTTACTTTTCTGTCATCTTTCCTTTAACATTTTTATTTTTCCTCCTTTCCTTCTACCTTTCCTTTCTTCCTTACCTACTGTCAGCATTTGTTTCCAGACTCCTAAGTACCAGGCTTTGTTAGTAAGAGAGTAACAAAGAGAAAGAAGGTGCTTCTCCTTTTGAATGTTAATTAGGATCAAGAAGAGGCATTGAGACTGTGGGTGAACTGTATAAATCAACAATCTATCTAGTTTTGACTGAGCAAACATTGAGCATCGGGTGAAAATATAATGGCTGTAGTTCAGTCCTCCTGCCCATAAACATTTAATTCCTTAGAGGCCATGGATAACAGCGATCGTAGGGAACCCAAACTGCTTTTCCTGGTACTTGCTAGCAGTCATTCATGTACTGTTACTTTGTTGTGAAAAATAACCTTGAATGATTCCATAGACAGCATCAACTTGGAGATTGAAAAGTAGTTAAAATGGTGTGATAGAATGGGAACTTTCTACTCCCTCCTCATCTCAGTCCACTTAGGGACCATTGGGAGAGATATCAGAGTTTAGGTGCTGGATGGTAATAAAGTATGGCCAGCATGCTTCTCTTTCCTCTTTATCACCTGTATCTCAGTTGCTAACCTGCTTGCAGGCTCAAGGACTTCAGTCCCCAGTGCCCATGTAAAGCCAGCCCCTTGTGGTGGTGCTTGTTTGTAATCTTTATACTGGGGAGGCAGGAACAGTGGATTCCTGAAGCCTAGCGGACTTGGTGAGAGACAAAATAAGTTGGCTGGCTTCTGAGGCATAACAACAGACTGTTAAAGCACAGACCTCATGTAACCAGAGCTTCAGTTTACTCATCTGATAAAAGAGAAACTGCCTTCCCTCAGGTATTTTGCTGTTGATAAACCAGTGATCTTCAGAGTGAAGACAATAAAACGTCTCCACAAGAGGCAGGTGGTGGAGTGTGTGCTTACAAGAGACATCCGGAGACAATCAGGGCTGTACCATTTGGTCAGTCTACCAAATGATGGCAATCATGTTCACTCTTATTGACAAAGATGACACTTGCTTTAGGTTGGAACTCAGTTTACCCGTGGTATCTCTGGAGGAGAAAGAAAACGAACAAGCATAGGAATGGAGCTGATCACTGACCCTTCCATCCTCTTCCTGGATGAACCCACAACTGGTTTGGACTCGAGCACAGCGAATGCTGTCCTTTTGCTCCTGAAACGGTAAATGCTACAAGACATTTTCATTTATTTACTGTTGAGTCACTATATGTGACATGATGTATTCTTTGTGCAGGAGTAAACAACAGAATTTACTCCTCCTTTGTTAAGGGGAAGAAGAAATATTAAGAATGGTTAATTTATTCCTCCTTTGTTAAGGGGAAGAAGAAATATTAAGAATGGTTAATTTACTCCTCCTTTGTTAAGGGGAAGAAGAAATATTAAGAATGGTTAATTTACTCCTCCTTTGTTAAGAGGAAGAAGAAATATTAAGAATGGTTAACAAGAATATAGAGACTGATGGCTGTGGTCAGGCTGGGGCTGGTTTAAATAGGAAGAGGGTCATGGAGGATCTTGGGCATAGACAAGAGACCTGGGGATGAGAGAGTGAGGCCTGGCTATAGCTTGTAACAGAATCTCCCTGGAGGGGATGGCCACTGGCCCCAAGACAGAACATGCCTGATATGTCTGGAACATCAAATAGACACAAGAACCCAGTTACTGTAGAGTTATACATAGGAGCCATACAGTTATAACAAAACACCACAGTCTAGGTAGCTTAACAGCAGAAATCTTCCCTATTGTGCAGACTTAGCACCTGCAGTCTGATAAATGTGCAGATGTTGCTTCTGAAGGACGGAAGTGGAGCCTGAGAGTCTTCCCTGGGGACACTTAGAGCACATGGTCATTCTGATGTCCCTAGTTCTCAGCCTAGCTCTGAGGATCAGGCCTCACACAGTTCTGCTTCCTCCAGGTTCCTCCCTGTTACGTTCCAGATCTTACAGTTTCTGACTGAGTGTTCATCATGGGTCTGTTTACTCCAGTCTCTCCTTCCTTTTGAGCTTTAAATGTCATTGTACATATTCATTGTACCATGCTACTGTGTTCTAGAAGGACATTTTCACACAAATAGAGTGTGTGGTGAGCACACCCCTCTATACTCTCTCACTCCCCGTTTACAGTTCCACTTCTGTGCCTTTTTGTCCCCTAGACAGTCTCACTTCTAATTTTATGTCATATATACATGCATGATTTTTATGTATCTATAAAATATAGGAACCCAGATGAGAGAAGACGGTAGATATTTGTCTTTATGTGACTGGTTTAATTTACTTACCATGATTTTCCCCTCATTAAATCTACTTTCCTGTAAATGCTATATCATATGTCATCCTTTGTTTACATATTTCTCTGATATTGACACCTAGGTTGGTTCCATAAATTTTGCTGCATTCTCTATACTGAGTTTCGTCATCTAACATCACCCCCCACACAGAGAGAGAGGGGGAGAGAGAGAGAGAGAGAGAGAGAGAGAGAGAGAGAGAGAGAGAG